CTTGCGTTGACAATTACAGAAAATCAGCTGTGATTGTGAACACTGTTCTATTTCTTATAATTATTATTTATTTCCGTACAAATACACCAGGCGCCGTTAGACGTGGGTTCATAAGGGCTTTAAGTGCCTTCCATTGACATGAGGGACATGAGTGTCAATCAGCGGAAGCTTCCACAGACTTTATGATTGCCGGACAGATTCTATGACCGCAGTTTGCATCAGAGCCTCATCCAGCAAATGACAAGTGCCTCAGCAATCAGCCGCTCGCCCCCTGGGAACCAAACAAAAGGAAAGAAGACGACGTGATTGCGCCGTTTTTGAAACACGGAGGACACACCGCCGTGGTGGACTCCCAGCTGGGACGGAAAGCACCAACATGGCGGCACAGACGGGAAATCTCCTGGGGTGACGTCACCGCTCGGTCTCTCGTAGTGACGCGCCCTCGCCGCCTCTCGGGAAGACACGGCCCCCTCGCGCGAAATGATCCCGTCCCTCGGGTCAGTGGAATCTGAGATGTCTCTTTTTTTTTTTTGGGTGGCATCAGAACTTCCTCCCAAACACCTTTTATTACCTGCGGTTTATGTTCATTCCATTAAACATCACCCTGCAGCCTTCTGGTGGTTTTCAGAGCAGATTTTCTCATAGCAGGAAAAGAAAAAGGTGCTACTGATTAGTTTAAAGATGTCTCCGCTCTATTCATGTGTCCCAGCAGGCAATGACTTCACTCCCTTTCTCTCTTTCACATGTCAAAATGTCTTATGTGGAAAAGACCAAATGCTTTATTCCCTCAAATTTGACACACAACACCTAAAAGCTGCTTATTGTCACTACGTGTGAGTGTTTTCTTCAATATTCTCAGTGCAGAGTCGCTTACCAGCAAAACAAAGGAAAAATAATCCCTATTCATCAATACAGGGGAATGATCGACGTGCACTATTAATGAGGGAATCGACCCGACTCGGCCACTTTTACCCTGAATCGGGTTGTAAGCAAATTTATAAAGTTACAAGGAGGAAATACTTAGAGCCCCAAAATCATTTTATCTTTCCCAGGAATGAAACAATTGATTTCCTCTCTTCTTTTCTCTCGCATTTGAACTCCGCTGTGATCAGAGGAGTCTTTGTTGGGCAGGAAAAGAAAGACCAGGACCCAAGATGAGGAGCAGAGACGGGCGGCCTCATTATCGCCCCGAGCAAAAGTTACGGCAATAAAAGTCACGTGACCCGTTTGGGCTCACACGGCGCCTATTTCCCAGTGTGTGGAGACTCTTTGATTCCGCTCACTTTCACGCCGTAATGAGCCGCCGGGTGTCTGCGCTCGGCGGCTCCTCCTCCCCGGCGTGCTGTTGACTGCCGGTCCCCGTGACCTCATTGGGAGGATCCTTCGCCGGGTTCTGCCCGGCGAATCGCCGGAGCTCTCGTGATCCGCCGCGCCGGCGTGCTAATGAGGTCTCTCTGGCTCGTTGGAAATGAACCATTAGCGTTAATCCGGCCCCTAGGAAGAGTGAAGAGCTTCAGCCCATCGGCGTGAAGGTGCTCATCGATCACAGGCCGAGACGAGATGAAAGATTCGTTCATCGCACGGCTCCTTCGGAACACGACTCGTATCTTTTCACCAGTAATTTGCAGGGCATGGCGATGGATGTGTTATTAGCTCATTTGATCGCACACTCGAAGCAGCTTTTTTCATTCTGTTCCATCTGTTAATTACATCACCTGCCAGCCCACCGTATGGGACCCCTGTTCTTCACAGCCGATCACCTTCACCTAATAAGACAAGAGCGACTTTGGATGTTTCCTCTCAGCAAATACTTTAGTGCTGCCGTGCTGACGGTCTAATTAATGCACGAGGAACCATGAACCGTGTCCGGGCGGGGGGGTGGAGGGCCTCCATCGCTGAACTGAAGCCAGAGAAGACGATGGACGGGTGTGTTTATCTGCGAAAATATTGCTTTCTTATCTTTTGTCTAAGCTCCAAGAAACAAAAGCAATGTGACTAAGTCTCTTGGCCATGTCACTCCTCCAGGAGAGTTGTTGGAGGATTAGTTTGGTCTTTTTTTTTCATTATCGTCTCGCTGTTTCCCCTAAAAAAAATACTCGTTATTTCAGGATCAACATGAAGTCCCAGTTCAACTGTGACACGTTGGAGCGCCGCGTCTGAATCATTGCTCCCTCCACAATAAGCACCCCGCTTGTTTGATTGAGCGCGTTTGGGACGTTTACGAGTCTTCTTGAGCCGTTTTTCCCGGTTCTTCCATCAGCGTTGGTGGTGGTCACAGACGTTTCAACGTCCTCTTTAAAATGTCATGATTTAGTCTGTGTGCTGACGGAATTATGGTCTTCAAACGGAGACGGCGGAGCCGCGCAACCAGACGACCGGCTTCGGGACTACAAGTCTGTTTGCTCTTTTTCAAGAGATTATGGATTTGTATTTTTCGATTCAAGTTCAAAGCCGACTTTGTGCTGTACTTACTGCTAATTAGGAAACGTTACCATGTTCCCACGCTAAACTAGCGCTTATCCTAGCGTTAGCTCCAGGCACCGTTGTGCTACACTGTTAAGTAAAAGCAGTGAATCAAGATTTTGGACACTCGTCTATTATCACAGTGTCTAAAAAAGTGGGTTAATACAATTGCACAATCTTGCATTGTGGGATCGTTATGATGAAGTAGTTTGCATCCCATCGTCAGTACTTTCTTTCTTTCTTCCATTGCAGATTTGTTTATTTGAATTCTGCACCTTTTGTTAATAAATTAAATCGAATTATCAGCCGGAACAATCAATTCCGAACACTCTAATCTGTGTGCAGCTGCACGGCTTTCAACTCGGAGAGGTCGATCCATCTCGTCTGTTACCACACTGAGTGAGGAGTTACAAGCTGACTCGTGCCTTAATGCTAACCACCGCTGCCCAGCGATGTGAATACCAACGACAAATCAGTCCGAGCCTTCCACCGTCTCTGCCCCTTCATTTCCCTTGAGGGAGGCCAAACAAGCAGACTGCAATAGAAAGGAAAAGCAGCCGCGTAAACAAGCCGTCGATGGCCGAGGTGAGTCGAGCAAAGTAAAGCAACGTGGTGACTGCTTTGTTGTTGAATTCCAATGCATTCTCAGAAAGGGAAAGACTCCTTTTAGCTTCCGGCCCCTGAACTGTTTATTGGGAGAATTAGTACTGGCTGTGGTTGAATGAGGACAGAAGTGAGACAGTTGGAAAATTCATTAAAAAACAGTGTTGACCTGCAGCAGTAATTTTGAAGGCGGTCCGGACAAGAACCTGGACCCGTTGACTTGCTTCCACTATTCAAAAATCCCTGCGTATGTTTACGACGCAGGGATGAAGCACATCGAATCCTTAATATTGGGATTAGACTTTTTCTTTTAGTCAAATATGGGACTGAGGATATTGAAAATTACATTTGAAAAGAAGACTTTTACCTGGTGCAATAGTTTTAATTGCAAATTCTTGACAATTTCAGAGCTCCTGCGATATGCAGCTACAATTTGAAATGGTCTATTGAGACTTTGAGAGGAGAAATAATATATCTTTGCTCCCTTTCTCCCTGTATGAGGAAGGCAAAACGGCACCCTGATATTGACCACCTTACATTTATTTTTTTCAGTACCTGAAAACCCCCCAGAAATAAGGATGAATATATTGATAACAAAATTGTCATGGAAAATTGTTGAAATATATTAGTTCAAAAAAATTAAAAAAGTTCAAATATTATAGAAGAAAAAAGTCAATAGAAAAGTCACAAAATGTTAAGTTGAAAAAATATTTGATACAAAATTCAAAATCTTTTAGATCAAAAAATGCCCAAAATGTCCAAAATCGTGGAAGAAAAAGTCAATGAAATGTTGAAGTCAAAAATGTTTTGAAAGAAAAGTCCAAATATGCTAGGTCGAAACATTTTATAGAAGAAAAAGTTGAACAATATTAATTGGGTTGAATTTTAATTTTTTTAAGTCAAAATATGTTAGATTGAAAAATGTCATTAATAACATTTTATCGCCGGTCTGATCGTTTTCTGATTGGCTGGTTATCTAGTGAAATAAGAATATGCAACTAAAACCATGGGCTCAGACGTAATAATGATTGAGCAATCTTGATGCACTGACGACTACTTACTTACTTCCGTTTGTCTCCGCTGGGAGCCAACACCATGTGCCACGTGACTCGGGCCAAATGCTTTCGCCCAATGAAGAACCAAACCAGAAAACCAGGTCGGACCCTGCTTCAGAACAAAATGATGTGGCTCCACCTTTGTCATCTGTAATTTTCTTCGTCATTGCTCATACGGCAATACAGCTGATCACACGGCACAGCTGCTGCCATAAGATGTTTGTTAATCGTGTATGATGCCGCTCCAGCAGAGCAGCTTAGTAATGGTTATTGCTCAACATTGTGTTCATTTATCAATTACATATCTGTTCATTACCTGACGACAGAAGCAGAAAATCGAAAAACGTAAACATTACATTTGTGTTTTCTTCCTTCTCTTTCATGCATTTTTATTTTCTCCCTCTACCTTCACCATACAAAGACGAAACATTGGTTTTGTTGTATGTGTTTAAGAGGAAGTCGGTAACGAATGCAACGCATCATTGAATATAAAGTAAACATGTTATACATTTGTGCATTCGTGTACTTTCTAGAGGTCAGCAGGAAGTAACGAAATGGTTCGAGTTCCGCCGGAAACACTATTTTGTCGCGGTGACAAGTTGATATTTTATACTTGTAGAAAGTCTTGCTCAGTATGCATCTTACTCAGGTTAAAACAAATTAATCCCAGGGACCAGTGCCAAGATTGTGAAAAAAAACGACTCAAAACAGGCTAAAAATATCCCCGGCTCATGAATAGCAGAGTGGAGGCCGGAGCGCCGATGATGTCGCCGAGCAGGTGGTCACTTCAGTACCGATTAGCGCCGCAGATGTTCTCCAGCCGACCCGGATCCAGGTGAACTGATTCTGGCCCGAGGTCGTAATAAAGATGCCGGCGTGTATTGTATGTGCACCCTTAACTTTATTTCACAGTACTTTGTCTGAAAGCAGATAACATAGTATTAAGAAATAAAATGAAAAAAACACATTTTTTGTGCTCTTGTTTGTTTCGATGCACATGAACAACAACTGCTGATCTTTCTAAAGATTTCGTCAACACTCTTATTAGACACAGAAGTGCTACAATATGCAGTATAAAAAACATGTGGCTAAATAGCTAAATGAACTAGAAACCTGACAGCTCTCAGAGGAAACTGAAATGCTTTTATAAAAATAACAACAAATGGAGACTCGTCAACAATATCAACATTGAATTAAACAAAAGGAAATTTACACTTGTACACGTATCCCAAAATCTTAAGGCGGTTGAAATATTAAGTCAGACAACCAAGTTAACACTTTAGAAGGTCCTTACATAACACATTCACATCAGGCTCATGAATGCTTCATTTCACATGAATGAGTAAAAGCAGCTTCATGACACACTTCAATGAGAGACGCAGCTTTGTGACAGAAAATGAACAAAAGGGGGAACTCGTGCCTGCAGTTATACTGACATAATGAATAAAGGGGGAATAAAGAGTAAAATGAAAAAAAAAAAACACATCAGCGGATAAATGAATTCCCGCAGGTCATCGAGTTTGTCTGTGCTGCTGATTTTGAGGTGTTTAATATTCACACAAAGCACTGATGTTCCTGTCACGGTTTAACCTCAAAAAGCTGTTCTTTTCTTTATCATACATTGAGAGTTGCTTTATTACAATTCTTCAGGTGAGTCGGAGAGCACAAATATACGGATTTATTGTTCACCCATGAATACGTAGTGAGTCATCATGAGCCTGTCTGCAAAAAGTTACATAAACACCTCACAAAGAATAAGCATTAATATTCACTAAAAAAGATGTCATGATACACAAATTCACAGCCGGTAAGTCAGAGGATTCGGTTTCACATTCTCAAATTTGAATCTAGCACGTTGATAATTCGTCTGGTACGTAGCTTCCACAATATACAAAAAGATTGAACAGCCTAGCAGTTAAAGAATAAAACAAAACCTGTCAGCAAGCAGCAAGGCCCATCCAGAGAACAAACTACTTTCCTGCATTAATCGGATAAGACGTTTTGCAATTTAATACACTGGAAGAAATATTGAAGCGAAGGAAAAAAAAACACATTTGTCAATAGCATGAAATAAATGTTTATATATATATATATATATATATATATATATATATATTTTTTTTTTACACAAAAGCTGCCATCGACAGATCAGAAATATGTATCTGTTACATTCATCATTCATCGGGCTCTCGGCGGCCTCTGAACAAGTGACGAGGAGCAGCCGCCTGCCCTTTAACATGTTAGCGATTATTAGCAGGCTTTCAACACCCAATGTTTTCAACAACCGACACAATAGAAAAAGAAGCACGGATCTACGGATGTGTGGTTTTACGATTCCCCCGACCGCGCAGAAAGTATTGTAAACATTTCCGATGTTTCTGCTTTGGTACTAAAAATACAAATGACGGCTGAAGAAACGGACGATGGAGACTTTCCTCACGGGACTCCATCCGGTCTGCGTGAAGCCGGATTCCATCCAGTGAAGACTGCGCTGTGTGATTAAGGGGGACATTGAAACTGAAATCAATCTGGATTTTTTTTTTAAACGCATGTAAAAGGTTTTAAAAAAGAGATTGTTACAAAAACAGGCGGTGATGGTTGAAATGGCAGAAGGTTCTTCAGCAACAAGTTATTCCCGATGAACAGCGGATCGTTTGATAAACCCGAATCAACCACTTATACTTATCCATCTACACAGCAACATTGCAAATATAGATGCCCATATCTGTACATAGTTTTTGTTGAATTAAATATATGCAGGAAGGGAAGAAAAAAAAGTTCTTTTTGAGTGAAACAACTCCTCAAAAAGTTTCAGTAGACATTTCTTCATATATTAGTTTCAGATTACACAACAGCAAATCCACTGTCACAGGACTTGGCCATGCGATACCCCAAAACCCATAATCCATTGTGACACATATACATATATATATATATATATGTAGTATTCATTTGCAAGATATTTTCCCTTCAATTTTCCCACAGGTTTCCCCGATTAATGCTCTACATAATATGACAAATTTAAAGACTCTGTAACCCATTTTCCTCACACGCAAAAGAGAACGTGATCATCTTGAGCAAGTAGTTGATAATAATAAGGAAGTATCCATTGATTGGAATGTCGAGATGATGCTCTCGTGTCATCTCTGCACTGCGTGGTCCATTTTTATAAAACAGCCAAAGAGGTTATGATTTCTGTTGGGATGAAACGCCTTTCCAGTAGTCTAAAATATCATGCAGGTCCTCATCCTTCGCAAACTGGACTTTCTTACGCAGGGCATGGCCCGCAGCCATGTACTCATCATCTTTGTGCCGTTTGCGGTGCAGTTTGAACTTCTCCCAGATGCTGTGGGAGGGTTTGCAGTAGTATTCCGGACTGGAGGAGTAGCTCAGATTGTGATAGTGGGACGATAGCTGGGAGTACGCTAAGTCTCTGGAGCGGGAGTGAGTGAGAGGCTCCAACATGGAGGATTTGTGGCCGTCGGGTCCCTCCAGCTCCTCAATCTGAGCGTCGGGGTAGGAGTGCCGGTGGTCGCCGTACTGACGCATCTTCTCCGCCTCGGCCCTCAGGATGGCGGCGGCCGGGTTTGCAGAGAGGAGGCTCTCTCCCTTCGGGGAGGTCTTCTCTATGTACTTGGACTCGGAGCGGTAAGGCCTCGGGCTTCGCATGGGCCCCCCCGTGGCGGTGCTGGGCCTCTTTGGCGAGACGTCGGAGGACCGGTGCCTCTGCAGGGAGTGGTGATAGCTGTCCGTGTACCCCGGGGAAAGGAGGCCCGATTTACTCTGCGGGTGTTCGGATATCAGGACGAGCTGGGGCTCGGCGGTGGACACCGCGCCGGATTTCCCTTGAAAAGAGGTGGATTCCGACTTCAGAGCATCTATGCAGTTGTTGATTATCTGATTGACTTTGTCCACCTCTTTTGCGATGGTGGAGATCTCCGCCACCGACCCCTGGCTGTTCCCGGCCATCCCCATGTCGCACTCCCTGCGTTCGTGGTGGTCCACGCCGCGCACGTCCATGTAATTCCCTTTCATCATCTTAGGAGTGTCACTCATCTCCTGGAATTTGTACTGCTCCATTTCAGCCGCAGATGGCAAGTAGGGCATTCGTGCCATGCTCTCGCCGGCCAACAGCTGCTTCTGCGACATTCGAGAAACGGTCGCGCCCTCGAGCTCTTGTCCGTATTTGAGCTCGATTATGTTCTTCTTCAGGCTGCCGGCTCTTTTGTGCTTTTCGTCTTGCTGGCGCTTTCGACGCAAGCAGTAGTAGACCACGCCCAGGAAGATGACCATGCTGAAGAGGCAGCCCAAAATCGTCATGATGTAGTGAGTGGCGGTCGCGTTGTTCACGTCTCTGGCCTTCCCCTTCAGAGTGCCGGTGGTGATGGTCAGGCAGGTGTGGTTGTGTCTCAGCGAGTTGCGTATGGAACACACACAGTACGTGTAGTTGGTGTGGGGTTTGAGGTTTTTCAGTTCCACGTCCTCTTTCGAAGCTTTCAGGGTTTGAATGTCGCTGAAAAAGCTGTTGTTGTACAGAGACAGGATGTACATCTTCTTGAAGGGGTGAGGGATCTGAACCGTGACGGTGGCGCCTGTGTTCGATACCTGCTTCAGCTTCATCAGAGGGTTCACCTCCACCACGTTGTAGGTGCTGATGGTGATGTCTTCCGGCTCTGTGCCCGAGGGACAGTCTTCCAGCCCCGCACAGCGTCAGGTCCGGCGGGGGTGTCGAGGACTCGGTGGGCACGGGGATGAACGGCGTCACGTAGTCGTCCGTGCACACGGTGGTGAGCATGTGCAGCGCGTTGCGAAACGTCGGATTGTTGGGATTCGGGCTCAGTAAGCTGTAGCCGGAGACGCCGGGTGGGGAGTCGCAGACCATCCGCTCGTTCGTCCGGTTTGGGAAAACCGAGAGCCATTTGACAAAACCCAGCAGTTCGCACGAGCAGTTGAAGGGGTTGGTGTACAGCTCGCAGGTGGTCAGTTTGGTCAGACTGGTAAACGTGGACCCGTCCAGCTGCTGGATTCGGTTCATGGAGAGGTCAATGTTCTCTATGTTGGGGCATTCCCAAAAGGCATTGGGTGTCACGGTCTCAATCAGGTTTGCCTGGAGGTAGAGGTACTGCAGCTTTCCCAAACCCCTGAGGACCCCCTCCGTCAGGTTGCGCAACTTGTTGAAGCCCATTTGGAGGACTTGTAAGTTGAACTGAGCAGAAAAGGCCCCATCCTCTATGTAGGAGATTTCATTCTTCGTCAGGTTCAGGTAGGTCAAGTTGGCAAAGCGACTGAGGGCAGAATAATGGATGCTTTTGATTTTGTTTTCATTCAGACGGAGGTCCACAATGGTGCTGTTGATATGCTGTGGGATGGCCTCATAAGGTGGTTGGTTTTGGCTACAAATCGCAAGCCACACAAAGCCCTTTTCACCCTCAATTAACCAGCAGTCTCCGCTGACTCTGCCGATGTTAGTCAAATACACAATGGCTACGGACCAAAACAAGGCACTCATCACCACGCCTGAGCTGCAGGCCATGGGGGCTTCTCTGAGAGTCATGTGCAGGACCCGAAAAAATGAGAGGAGGGGGACGCCGGTGTGGTTTCAGTGCAGCCGCGATCTGGTTGGATTGTCAGCCGGATGTTTAACTGTTCTCTGTAATCCTTTTGTGTGTCTCCTCCTCATTGATGGATGGTATCGTCGCCATGTAGCAATCAGAGCGGTTTTGGGGAATCGGCCCGAGTTTCTTTCATTGAGGTTTGCCTGCAGTGAAAATCGCTTCAGGTTGGCTTGTGCTTTTTTCCTCAGAGGTCACCATCATTTAATGGTCTCATCTTACTGTTTCTGCCACCGTCCACCTCTCCGTGTCTCTCGCGCGCGCATGGAGGAATAACCTGCAAATGACAAGAAGACATCGTTGACATTAATTACATTTGATCAGGATAAGAAATACACTCATATTGCATTTGCCGCTTTAGAAACGTCGCATTGGAAGCCTGGTATTCTTGTGCACCGCCTGGCCTCCATGTTCTCGCCCCACCAATTACTGCGTCCACAATTCGAGACGCGTTTGCAGCCCCTGTGGCAGACTCCAATTTAAGGGAACTGTTGGCCAATTACCAGTTGACAGGTTGGGGAAAGCAGGGTCCCTGTTTTCACAGCATTACACACCATTCTGTCAGACACAACGGAGGCTGGCAAATGTTAAGAAGTTGCATTAAATCAATTACACAACAACACATGAGAAGACCCTTTGGATCAATGTATTTAGGATTTTCCGCCCGCTGAAATCCTTGAACACTGATGCTAGAGTGAAATTGAGCACAGGGTGTTCTTGGATGACAGTAAAATGAAATGTAGATCTTTTGTAAAAGGGTTGGCGAGCCAAGGTTATAAAGATTGGAGCAACAAAAAGAGCAAAGAGGACGAAAAGAAAAATCTTTCAAAATTCTTTCATCCCCATTTGGCACTTTGTGTTAATCTTGCTGCTCAAATACAAAATGCAGCACACATTTTAACAACCCTAAAAAAACAAACACCACCAAATCAGACATTATTATACAGCCTTCATCTTGTTATTGTGACAAAGTAATAAACAAAACCTGCTGCTCAGGTTTGTGGTGCACATTATCAATAATAAGGTATTTTTTAGCAAGAGGATGTTCATCCTCCGCCCCGGGTGAAAATGCACGAAGCAGATCAAGGAGAACACTATTTGACGGCGTTAATTAAGTCAGTCACAAGGAGGATATTTAAGATTAGTGTTAACGAATGTATTAATCACTAATTTGTAATTAAGGAGAGTTCAAAATCTACTGGAACTGAATTAAGTAGTATTAATCTAATAAATTTACCAAGTCTGCCTCTGACCAAGGCCAACTTTTGTTGGTGTGGGGGGGGGGGGGGGGGGGGGGTTTTTTGTTTAAAAAACAGCGCTCTCCCACACACGAATAATAAAAGAGAAAAATGTGACACTTTATGGCGGAGAGAATACATTTCAACCCCCGCGGTTTGCCATCGAGGACCTGAAGGCCGTTTTATCATGTGGTGGTTTTCCTCACCGCACATCGAGTCGGGGATAAAACACCTGACATCGTTGGGTGATCGGGGGGTCTTACAGGAAGCGTCATGGGACGTTGTTGCACTGAACCATTAATGCTAACTAGCTGTTTTGCGACCCGTATGCTCGACGCCGAGCCGAGCTCCGTGTGTGTTTCTCCTGTTTGCATTATTGCAGTTTGATCCACGGCGCTTCTGGCAGTGAAGCGTCCGTCAGAACCGCTGAGCCAGCTGGACCGCGCCGTGACAAATACCTGTGCTTTCCACGTGTCGCGTGCACGAACAAACCCCAAAAGTATATTTACTGCCGGTTTGCACATATATACAGACTACGCCAGAATAATAATAATGACACTGAATCTGCTGTTGGGGAAAGTGGGCTTTCCAGCTGGGAATCGTCTCCAACAGTAAACAGTGTGCTGCTCGCTGATAAACTGATAACCGGAACGCTCAAAGTGTTATCTGACGCGTCGTACGTTTGACATAGACTCACTGTAAGCTGGCCTCCGGGCTGAGTTCATTTATTAATCTTTAGCTCAAATTTGCTGTGAATGTGGAAACACGGTTCACTGCTTTTGCTTTACAATTCCCAAACGTGGTATATGAATGCACGATGCGTGCAGATATGCACAGGTTGCTTTGCTATGTGCAGAATAAATGCTGAAAATCTCTTTTCACGTTAGCGGCAACATGCATGTTTCCGTCTGGACGGCGTTTTAGAACAGAAACCCCTTTTTTTCTGCTCGGCTCACACAATGCTGACAGCTTCAAGGGTGATCCAGTAAAAGCTCCGGTCCGCCATTCAAGCGAGGTAAAGCGAATTAACGAACGCTGTGGTTGGAGGCCACGGCCAACAGAATGCCAAAGGCCGCCGCTACAGAACCACCTTTGCGGCGACAAAAGAGCAGCGGCGGAGGAGCGCTGAGGAGGAGAGACCCCTCGAAAGCCCCCGGGACGGAAACAGGCTGCGAATCAAATGTTCCATGAAATGAAATGCAGCTCTGCAAGGCAACGCGGATCTCGTTGTCGTTCCCGGGGCCCCCGTGACCTTTACCGGCAGAGGCGGACTTCACCTAAAACCCCCCTCCCGAATCTCCAGCCGCCCACAGCGCGCCGAACCGGCGGTGACTAAACGGACGTTTGGGTTTAACCGGAGAAGTCTCCTCTCGGGTCACGGTGCATTGGCTGGGTTGTGTTTGTCCACAGTGACTCACTGTAGCGAGCCCGCCGCTGACTCACCGCCTCGCCGCTGAAAGCCGTGCATAAATTACAGCCGGGGCTCGAGCCCTGTGCGCGCACACACACACACACACACACACACACACACACACAAAGCATGCTCACAACAGTAGTTGACACTGCGCGGGAGCTTCTGCCTGCAGATCTAAAAAATCACAACGCTGCGTCTTAACTCCTGCACTCGTGTCCTAGAGAATCCACAGCGTATGCCAACAAAGAAACAGAACAACCCGCCTGAGGTGTTGAGTCATGCGACAAAGAAAGCAACAAACTACATTAAAATACATCTTTTGGTGCTTTGGTTTCATGCAAATGCGATGATATTGTTTATGTAGATCTCGAAAGGAGCCCGAGGCGTCCAGCCGGGTGTGCTGCCTTTTGAGAGCGTAGGTCTGTTTGTCACCGCAGACCCACTTTCCATAATGGCAGCAATCTGTATGGTCCAGTGCGAGCCCTGAGTGCAGCGGGCCAGAACGCCCGAGGCATCAAAGCTGAGTATATTCCCCTATCAGACACAGGCAGCCATTCCACAGCCTCTTTTCCATTTAGGCTTTATGCGGCGGGTAATGAAGGCTTTTCTCTTTCTGTGGATAACCTATTGAGACCCTGCTCCTTGAACAACGATTCAAACGCCGTCTTGAAAATGTTCCCGCTCCGGTCGCTCAGGGCCTGTTGCTTTTATCGCTTCTGCTAAAGAAATCGTTGCTCGTGAAAGGCGAAACCTTTCAAGGTGGCTGTTAATGTACACAAACAGGGCTCTTTTTTTACACATCCGTAAAGCAACCCGAGTTGAGCAAAGTGTTCGTCCGGCGGTGGCGACAAGCTGCGTCGTACCCCAGGAGGGACGCGAGGCGGACGAGTCGCCCTCGCTTTCAAGAGGAACAATCTCCGGAGCGCTTTCATCTCCGTCCGCGCGCACGTGCTGTACGCAAGCCGACCGCCGCCGCCGCCCCTTCGCCGCCCTCCGTCTCTATCTTATCGATTTTTTTTTTCTGTTCCATCTTCTTTTTGTTCCAAGTGTCAACAAAAAGCGGGACGTGAAAGGATGTGTTTTTGCGGTTTGAGGGCGTGCTGCTCCATTGTTCCTCCCCGCGCTTCCTATCTTGTTCTCGGTGATGGCGCCTCAGTCGGCGCGCGGCTCCGCTCATCCATACCAACGACTGCCCTTTATTTGATGTCATTGACGATGCTCTTTTTCCCGGGTTGAATGAAAAGTAAGTAGAGATTGGAAGCCAGAAGTGGGGAATCAATTGAGTTTAAATGGAAATACTTCTCCTGGGGAAGGAAAAACATTGTGCTCATTGAGCTGCTGAATTGCTTTGGAGGGAAGAAGGAGGACGGGGGCACGTGTGCTTGTGTTATGTCAGAGGATATTAAACTCATACATTAATTACTCGGGGAATATTGCGTGTAGAATAATTGATCATGGTGATGTTTTTATTGACTAATGTTTGCTGAAGGTTGAGCTAGGAATATTTAAATAATCAATTCATTGTATTTCAAACATTTGTTATTGTAATGTGATTTTATTCTTTGTTTTTAATTAAATTTTCTCCTACATATTTTGCAGCATCACACCCAAACAAATTGCTCTTTATACAGCGGAATGTGACTCCGATCGTGTATTCAGAAGCTATATTTCGGTCATACCAGCTGTTTGAGGAACACTTGATCTAAAGGAAACTAAAAATCTAATCTACATCTAAAAAATGTCACATTAAAAAGAAGTTGTTACTTTTCCTAATAACCAGACTTTTCAGATTCATTGTTTCTGAGTCTAAATGACAGCAGCAACTGCTGCCAATTAGTATATCTAACTAACTTCTACCTGCTAATTGGCTGCAACTAAGCACACGGATGACTCATTCTGTGTGGGCTGGTCTTAATTAATACTTGTGATACATTGGTGCTAAATGTCAAATAACAGAAGCTTTTTGGATAATTAGGGCCAACGGGTGCAAAGGTTGGGCTGACACAGATGAGCGCCGGCATCCTGAATTCGAAACTGGCCTATTGTGAAGTTACATTCAGCCAACTAACCGCTTGTTATTCTACACACGTGTCACACTCCGTAAAACTTTAAATGACTCACTGCCCTGCCGACTCTTGCAAATTCCCAATATCTCACTCTATTGTTCTTCAGTGTATCAAGAGTCCTTCAGCTGGCTCACGACCCAGTATGAGCCGAGCTTGGACCAGAGTACAAAATCTCATTACAAAATAGAAACTTTGGGTGACTCCTCTCAAGGAGACGATGAGCCGCGAGCCGAGTAGCTTCGAGAAAACGCATCGCAGTGTTTGAGACAGACGCTCCTGTGAAACCCTGCAGGAGCATCAAAGCGGAATTAATCAGAAAACAAGGCAGAGGAAAGGTGCGTCCCGCTCGGCATGCACGCCGCCGCCTTCTCAAACGGTTATTTGGGCCTCGGAGCCGAAGCCTCGTCCGGCGCTTGCCTCTCGCTGCTGGGGTGGTTACGGAAAACTCCCGACTCAGGTGGATTCAACAGGCCGGCTCTTTACGTGTTTATTAAAATCTTATGTTTAAAGAATATGCTGACAAAATCTGCGATAAGACTCACTCCCCTTATCTTTGTCA